TACCTCAGCTCTTGGTGGTTTAGTCTCATTTATTTATATTACATAGGTCATTATTATTTCCGACAATTCTGGCCTAAGGCATTTAATTGGTTTATTGACACTATAAATAGTAATTGTGTCAAAAATTGTCAAGTGGTTATAATTTCTCTGATATTCTCTAGTATTTTAACTATACTCAAATTAAAATATGTTTCAAACAACGCGGCCTAAGTAATGTTCGTTTAAGTAAACAGTAACCTGGGATACCTTTGTTTTTGTAGGTGTTCTTTATGATATTTACAAGAGTTAGGGCATCTCGGCATCTTCTAGAAATGTCCCCTTTCTGGCATACCAGCAAGGTCTGTAACGATCTTCCCTCAGTGGTTTTCCCTCTTATCTATGTTAGGACGGTCTTCAAAAGGCGAGTAAACCTTTTCTTTCAGAGGAACCCTTGGTGATGCAAGTGCCACTGCATGCCTGCAGTCACTCTCTCCGCCCATGGAGGTAGTGACCACTTACCATTAAATTCAAATTTCTTATTTGCCTAAATGGCAGGTTGAACATTTATATTTGTAAAAAAAAATATAACAAAATAAAATTACAATTTCATTAATAATATAATCCGTAATAAGAAAAAATAAAGTTTCATTTCTGATTTTATTATCAAAAAAAACAGGTGGACTGTCAACTCGTTTGCTTGTATAAACCTTAAGAAAAAACACAAGAAAGTAGCAACACTTTCTCATTTATTATAGTCGAGTACCTTCACAAGAAAGTAAGTACTTAATTCATTTTCCATACCTCCATTACCATGGTAACGTGAAGCCACCATTTTCACAATAAAAGCGCAAGAAATACATACCTTCCTAAATTTTCCTCGCATTCAAAGAAAGTCGACCAGTCGCAAACGCAAAACCGCGGAAATCTGTTATTTATTATTAAACATTACAAAGTACCGGCCCTTCTGTATAGAGTATTTGAAATGGCCTACTCGGTCCGCTTATATTATATGCATGGGAAATGCAAACCCGATACATAATGAAAAAGGACCCAATTCGCGTGTAACGTTCGTTTTATTAGAAAAGGGGAAGATTCATGGGATTTTGTGTGCCGATTCCGGTCTCTCGTGCCGTTGGAATATATACTTTAACGTGTGCTCGGGATTGTATAGTTTTCAATTAATATTAGCGAATAATTACATCAATTTTTTCATAGACACGATTATTATAATGTGTTGCGGGCTATTGCTGAAATATTGACAAGTCTGACATTCTGTGTAATTTCAGAGCTGGATGCCCGTGCACCAGCCCGTAGGACTGTATCCAAAGACTATGAATATGAAGAAAGAAATAAAAGATATTACGAGAAACCTCTTCCTTTCGTTGTATATCTGGTCGTGGGCAGGTTAGCAGGAGAATAACCCTAGATGGTGAAGGCGCATAGAGTCTGCCTGCCTGTACAATAAAGGGTCAGGGGGATTATTGCCTTAAGATATTTCTAGGTATTTGAAAACCTTCGACGGTCAGAAATAATAAAGTGAAATTGTAAGCGATAGCGATAACCATAGCAATCCCGTTGGGCGACTAGCGCCCTGGTATGGTGGGAATACTTGTAAAAAATTACACATACCTGATTCCTTATAGTACTCATAACTTATTCTGTCGCGCTCGAGTGAATCCCAAAATTCCTGCGTGGGTTCCACTACTATTTATTTAAATGCACATGAATTTGACACAAAAATTTGATGGCAGTCCACATTTTGTAACGTAATTCCCAATAAACTCATTATACAACTTTTTTGAGAAAGAACCCCAAGTAATGGAGTTCGAGTGCCCTCTTGAAATGTAAATTATCCCTTCTTACATTCCGAGATACATATATAACAAATCGTAGCCTCTTCGAGAAGACTCCACTCTCGAGACATTCTCGTACTCGAGCACTCCTCGAGGCGCATAACGCTCTTGAGTCGCAAATAGAACTTGTTTATGCGTCGTTGTACCTTGTAGTATGACAGCTTTTATAAAACCGCAATATAACATCTGACAACGAGATTATAATTCGCACCGATAAACAACTGATGATTTCCAGCCAATATTTTTGTTCTTTTCGCACGGGGTGTCAGAAAATGTGCTAAGATGTCGTAAAGTCTTGCATTTTTGAGGAACGAAAGTGATGAATATTTTCGATTCGCTTATTTGCGACTCCTAATCTTAAAAAATAATCTCCAACGGACACACTCAACGAATAGAGTCATTCAACCAGATCTCATTCAACTTTTAAATGAAACTACAGTTGAATATCTGTTTCTTTGCGATAACATATTAATAAACGATATTAGTTTGACGTTTCTAAGTACAGCTGTAAATGCGTTTGGATTCACAACCCGTTATCTCCCAACAACACTGATAATAGGGGTGACCATGGAGGTTAAAGAGAAGGAAAACGATCGCTGTAGGAAATAGTTTCCCAGAAATATGGACAAAATAAGTGAGGCGCTGCGATCACTAAGTTGTCTCAATAAAAACGGGCTGTTTTGCGCTAATTATTCAACTAACTTTATCTATTTGTACTTATAAACAGCTAACTTCACAGATACTACTTACGAACTATAAATTATACAAATTTTCAGGTACAAACGGGCTAATGCTTTAGCACGTAGCGATCGTTCTACTTTACTCTAACCTCCACGATTAATTTTTTTTCGTCTATTAAATAGATTGTCAAAAAGTATTGGACACGTATTTTTTGATTTTTCACAGAAAAAGGTATTACAGGGATATATTGATTTGGAAATGCATGCAACGCATAACGTTACTTCTTGACACAATGTTTACTTAGGAGTGACGTCACGGGGCCCCTCTCCCAAACTTTGATTCATATTTTGGTTGATTGACAAAACAAAAAATAAGTGTCCTTTATTTTTGATAATCTAACTAACAGATTAAATAGAATTTTGTTTATTTTACTCCTTCAACGTCGTAAAAACCTAAGACAATTGGATATATGTAGTAACATAGTAACCATCATACCCTATTTTAGCTCCCTGCAACAGTGATAATTTTGTTATCCAAACATCCCTTAACAGCCGTGAAAACCAGTATTGGATATAGTAACACATATGTTATAATATAATAGACTCGTTATTCACGCCCGGTGAATATTTTCGCGTCACTGAATATTCATACATGTTCAATCACAGCGACTCGACTATAGGTATTAGTGACAAAATCAAAGTGTTGTGAAATTTGCATAAAAATATTTTGGTAAAAATAGCGCTTTTTTATTTAAAAGGTGGGCAGTAAAGTGTTTATTTCGATCCATTGATTGGTTGAGTAAAACTTTTTTAAAGATTTAACGCTGCGATGGCTCTGTGTGACTTATTTCATAATAACTAATACATTACAACTGTTTATACTGCGCCAGCGTCGCGTTGCCGTCCCGCCCCGTCCGCTTTTTTCTGCGTTTGATTTGATCAATTGAGTAAAACCATAAAAAATTAAATATTCCTACACGAACAAAGAATTTTGGTGACTCATTTCTTTGTCGTACTATTCGTAAGTGGAATTCTTTACCCACGCACGTGTCTTCCTATAATCTGGGGTCCTTTAAAAGAGGCATGAAGAAGCATTTTTGCAGGCCGGCAAGGTGAGGTTGGTAGGTGTAGCAGTTTATAACTGCTGTACCAGCTATCTTCCGTTTGGACTTTATCACCACTTAACATCAGGTGGGGTAGAGTCATTTGCAGCTATGTAAGGTATATAAAAAAAAAATCTCCGTGTCTACAAAATGTTCTGCTCCTAGAATTAAAACTTAACAACATTGTATCAATACCTACAGTTAATAAAAACAAAGATGTATCTTTCACTTATTAAACCATAACAATGGTGCGCTATTTTAATCATATAAAAACATAATATATGGATTAACATTTCAATTTGAATTCCTTTACTCGTATGCTTTCAGTATATGTATCAATGGATCTTTCAATTGGTAACAATGGCAAGAAATCTCATTCGAACTTAATTGAAAGACAATAAACACCTCAGTTGAATAGACTAGTTTATTACGTATGGCATAATTGAGTTTGAGAATTGAAATTTGATTTAAATAACATAGTACATAACGCCATCTCGCCATCTTAATTACAAAGATTTCTTTCGTTTTGCACCTTTTTTCAGTAATGGCGAATTAGTTGTATGGAATTTTAGAACAATGGTAGAAACCACATAGAGGGAAAAAATAGTTTTTAAGGTAGTTAAGTGAGTTCCTGTTTTGCAACAATTCTCTTTAAACACGTCATCCCATGTCTATTTGTTAATTGTTTAAAGTCAAACTAAGTTAGAATAGGGATGATGAGGACTCATATTCTTCGTCTTACAGCTTGTTTTTTTCTTTTCTTTTTCACATACTTATCAAAAATTGCAGAGATCAAAATTAATTTAAAGTGTCGCATAACATCACGTCTTGGTACATTTTTTACTTAAAAGTGATGTCACGAGCAGTTACTCCTAAAGTTTGACGCGCTTCACTTTGTAATTTTTGGGTCGATGGTTTGGTATTTCATATGATTAGCATTTAAAGATTTAAAACAAATGGGCCTTTTGACTCTTGAAATATCTAAGGGGTTTTATAAAATTCATCCTAAGGTTAGCTTTACCGTCGGCCTGGAATTTCGGAAACTTTTTAAACATTTAAGAACAAGTGGGCCTTTGTCACGTAAAATATCTAAGGGGTTTGATGATAAAATTTATCCGTCTTATTATCAAATCCTAAGGTTACTTTTATCGTCAGCCCGGAATTCCGCAACTGCTTTTAAGATATAAGAACAAATGGGCTTCTGACTCGTAAAATATCTGAGGGATTTGATAAATTTCACCCAAATTAATATCCAAAGGTTTTCTGTATTATCAGCCTGAAATTCCGCAACTCTTTTAAAGATTTAAGTACAAGTAGGCTTTTGACTCGTCAAATATCTAAGTTTGTTTCATCAAATTCATCCACATCATCAATCCTAAGGTTACCTTTATCGTCAGCCCGGAACTCCGCCTCCAACTCCGCCTTGGTAGGCTCCGGCTCTGCCTGCTGTTGCTGCTGCTGCGGCTGTGGCTGCTTGCTGACCGCCTTCATGCTCATGGTCTTCCTGGTCTTGTGCCCGCGGAACGCCGCCTGGATCTTCGTTGCCGCCTGCTCTTCCGACGGCTGCTGCTCTATGCTCTTCTGCTTCTCTTCTGAAACAAACAAAACAAATATTTAGGATTTTACTAGGATCCACCCGGGATAAGAGGAGTTCGATGGCATAAGTGGTAAGAGTGTTTGACTGTGATCTCGAGCTCCTCCGCACTTTGGAAGGCACGTTAAGCCGTTAGTTTTGGCTGCATCTGCAGTCGTTAGCACCCACCAATCCGCATCCAGAGCCTGCGTGGTGGGTTATGGCCTAATCTCCCTATTCCATCCACATGGAAGGCCTGTGCCCCAGCAGTGGGGACACGAATAGGCTGATGATCATGTTCCGAGATTTCGTCTACTTTATCTTCAGTTTGTTGGCTTAGCCAAGTCCATTTAAATAAAGATATTTTTTGAGTTTGAGTTTGGGAATACATCAGGAATCTAACATTTTTCCGGGATTAAAAGTATCATATGTTTCAATCCGGATCAATTTAGAATATTATTTTATTTTATTTTTATTTTATTGACAAAGATTCACCAACAACATATAATTTTTACATTACAATTTGAAAAAATATATAAATACCATACTTAAAGATATGCTTTTTAATAGGTGAATACAACATTCACATAAATACAAATAAACTACAATGACAGATTAAACAAACAAAAAAAAATATCCACCATCATGAAAAACAGGTATACTGAATTATAATATTATTTAGTCTGTGTTACGGTCTAATTTTATTTTTTCCACAAACAACCTCTTATATACGCGCTCAGTATTGTGGAAAACGTCGCCACTGCAGTCTTGTAAATCATTGTAGGTACGCATACACCGGTATAGAGGAGCACACTCACCAAGTCTAGTATTGTTACGAGGGAGATCAAAGCTTTTTGACATCGGATATCTAGGTATTCGATAAGGGACTTTAATATTCACCTGTTTAATTAGATTTGTACAAATCAATTTTCCATTGATAAGCTTATGAAGTGTCATAAGATCAGATAGTCTGCGTCGGTCAGCCAATGGCGTCATTTTGAAGTGAAGGAGACGAGTATTGTAAATTATGTGTGCCAAATCTCATCTATTGCCGTGCTTTTGCGTGAATGAGCAACAGACATACAAACTTTCACATTTTTAATATAAGTAGGATAAGTGAACCTTTACTTAAATCCATTCAAAATTTTAGTAAAACTTGATGTACAAGCCAGACACAGATCAAGTAACTCGAAGCTACCATATTTATCTAAATGACTTTAAGCTATATAATGCTTAACATACAAATCCAAAATTGAGTTTAGATTTTTCTACGGTGTAAATATTAGAATTTTTAAAGGTTGGTAAGGAAGGACAATAATCACATGGACAAACAAAATTAATAAAATTATTCATAGGTAAAATGCTCGACTCCTCCTATCTATCCTAAATTAATATGATACACAAGCAGCCGCCCGCGACTTCGTCCGCCTAAACTTTAGTTTTTTGAAAATCCCTCAGGAACCTAATACACTTCCAGGGTATATAGTATCCTATGTCTTAATCCAGGTCATAAAACACATGCGTACCGAATTACATCCACCTCCGTTAAGTACTTTTTGCATGATTTAGTAACAAACATACAAACTTGGAAACATACAAACTTTCACATTCTACTAATATTATAAATGTGAAAGTCCGTATGTCTGTTACTGAATCACGTAAAAACTACTGAACGGGTTTGAATATATTTGGTACGCTTATAGTTTATGCCCTGGATTGAGATATGGGATGCTTCTTATTCCGGCAAAATGACAGTTCCTGTGGGATTTCAATAAACTAAAGTCATAGTGGACGTGTCCCGGGCGGCTACTAAAATTCCTATAAAACTAAAGTATCGTAAAATTAAACAGTAAAGTTGAACTGCATACGGAACATCTCATTTATGTTATAGGTACTGATATTCCAGGGGACGTAGATACCAAGTTACAGCCTTTCGTTACTCCACAAAGCAAGGATAAAAGTTAAAGCTTCACGTTAACTTTGAAAATTCCACGACAAAAAAGGTGAATTTTAGATTGAGATTTCCTGTGATGTAGATGGGAGAAATAATGATAGGTGTGACGATGGGGCAAAGTATACGAAACTCATTCAGTCCGGGAGTTAGATTATACAAAAAAATAACGGATGTCCGTTATTTTTTTTTTAAATTCTTTTGCAATTAATCAAAAAAGAAAAAAAATCGAATGTCATGATCCATATTTGGCATCGATATGACAAAAGAAGTGAATACTTGCGACCAGGTGTTTGTTCATCGGCAATACATTAGCCACATACCTTTCTTATGTATGAAATAGAAATATTGGGCTAAAATAAACGCTACCATGGGCGATTGGTGGTTGTTAATTACTGCATATACACCCGGTATCAATGGTTTAAAATGCCTTCCGAAGCATGGACGGAGTTAGAGATTATGAATTTGCGTGTAAAAAAAAAATATAACTAGTCCAAGCGTACCAATTTCTTATTGTCGTCGTCGTCGTCGATGATAGAAAAAACGTAGCAGCAACCTTATGTTCTATGTAACCGTCTGTTTTTTCTACAAGTAATCGTCAGAGATGCTGCACGATAAAGAAAGCAATAAAAATTATTAAACGTATTTTAATTTTATCTTCACGATTACCACCGTATACCGGCCTCAAAGTACATGTTGTACATCGCACAGTGAGCGGACTACATACTCGTTTCCAAGTTGTGATTTTCGCAAGGAGCTATTTTGGTGAAATTCACCTAAACTGCTGTGTAATCCACTATCTACTTTACCTAATTGAGAGCACTGCATGCATGCACTGGATTTTATGCTCTATAGACGGCCACTGTTTCATGAATACGGATACAGTGGTACGGAATGAACAACTATGCATACATTGTCTGAAATTCAGTTGCAAACGTGAGGGTAAACCTTTTTCAATGTACTTACAACATTGAATATGACGTTTCTGGACGGTGAATGACACAGCTTTTGTAAGCAATTCCTTTCAAGTACGTTATGATTCATCATTTAAGTTAGAAGCAGAAATATAAATTCACCGCACCATTTTTTTTAATTCTTAAACCCTTTTAGGAAAAAAAAATGCTAAGTTATTGATATATGTTTTTTGAAGTTATACTTCTTTAGGCGCGTTATGAAAAATTGATGAGAGTGAAATTTTAAGATGCGCGCGCATCACTGTAACACAAAATTTTAACAGCATGAAGTTGGTCGCTTTAGCGACCAACTTCATGCGTTACTTTTGTGTTTACCGCACATTAAGAAAATCTACCAACTAAATAGAAATAGAATCTCTATTTAGTGGGTGCTAACGACTGCATTGTGAAGGCCTATCAAAAGTATTTATTAATCTGGAATAACGGAACCAAAGCGCGATTCAGGAGACTACAGCGCCATCTCTTGACCATTGGTGTAGTAGAACCAAAAACCACATCTTCATTTTTTGTAATAAAGTAACAGTTATAGGTATTCATATTTATAATATCAAAGTATATATTAATCTGGAACAACGGAACCAAAGCGCGATTCAGGAGACTACAGCGCCATCTCTTGACCATTGGTGTAGTAGAACCAAAAACCACATCTTTATTTTTTGTAATAAAGTAACAGTTATAGGTATTCATATTTATAATATTTATCCACATGTTTCTAGTTTGTATATTCGGAATACGTGTTTGAGTTTCATACAAGTGCAAATCACATATGTTCTAATAAATTATATTCAGTAGCGATTTTAATTGAATATTTTGATTATTTATTTATTTTTTCAAATTAAAACTGAACTTTATTGACTGTGTCCTTTTCCAGACTTTTTATTAATTTATTGTAATTAATTATTTGCATGCAATTAAAAACTAATTTTAAAGCAATGATCCCGATAGTCCCGGCACACAGCGGCAGTCGTCGCCTTGAGTTGCATGCGGCGTGTATAAATAATTGTTAGTGTGTTTATTATTGTTGTTTAATATGTAACTATAACTGTTAATGAACATGTGACTTTATATTTTCTTATTTATATTTTTTTTTATAATTCCTTTTGTTTATTTTATCATTAAGTTTAAAGTGTCTCACAAACAGACGCGGCCTGCGGCGGCGGCCTCTCCTATGTGTATTTCTGTAACCATCACGACCCCGGCCGCGGCCGCGGGTGGCGTCTGTCTGTGAGACACTTAATATTATTGAATATATTTTGTCAATGCCTGTATATCATGCAAGATTGTTAAACCCTTACACTCTTACTCCCATCCTTTAAACCTGTTATGTATTTTCTGTTTCGTTTCCTTTCCTCTCCTATTCTTTCGCCTCTCACTATTATTAAACCGTCCTCTCCTCTCCCTGTCTTTCCCACCCATTCGACCTCCCTGGCTGCATCTCGACGCGGCCTCGGATTCTGATGGGGCTACTCTAACAAATATCGAATCCCTTATATATTACAATTATGTTATATTCAGCACCTTAAAATGTAAAATGTAATAAATAAACGAGTTTAAAAAAAAAAAAAAAAAAAAAAACGATGCCAAAGAAGGATAACTTCTCACGCGCCTACATAAGTACACGCACCCATTTTTATTTCTTAAGCATTTACCTGATACATTTTTAAATCTAAACATCGAGCAGTTAAACGCTGCACTGCAGCCTAAGATATACTAGAAATAATTCGACACGGCTATTAAGGCCGTGCTAGCATGGTGGTGCGGGTTCGAGTTCCGTCTGCTGTCTGGTCCATCTTGATTTTTTTCTATCTTTGGATTAAAGTTATTGTTGTCCTTCTTCAAAGGTCAACCTGGGGCGGGAAAAAGAATTTGATGAAATTGAGAATCTTTTTTTTTTAGTCGTATTAGAAGTAGCGTAGTTATTGCTTGAACTATAGCGACCATCATAGGAAATAACATCCAGTTTTCTCAAGACTGCAGTGAAATAACAGCATTTGAGGGTGATGTTACTAGATAGGGTCGGAGTCATGGATGAAGGATTTCTCTTCACTTGGTCCATGTTTTGTACCTAATCTAGTTGCCTATTATAACTTACTT